TTATCCCAAGTAAACAAGGGTTAGGGTTAGGGTTAGGAACAGCCGGGCATTTAGGAAATCGAAGACCGAGCCCGGCTGCCGGGCATATTAGCCTGACCAGGCTGTGCGACGGTTTGTCTATACGGTATTCTAACCCTAGCAATACCGTTTCTTGGAGCTACCGGGCATATATACTATAGCCACAGCGTTGTTTGTTTGTACCGGGTAATATAGTGAATATCGGCCTAGTTTGCTATCGATGACACCACATTAATTTACTCTACAGAATAGCAGTGAAATGCTGAAACACGAGCGTTGAACACGCGGCATATCCACTTAACCTTCATTTTCAGATCCTTCCAAAAAGGTTCGAGCCTTCCAACGATAGAGAATGCTCCTTGCTGTATACCATCNATTCACTAACAAGATCGTTGGCGTCTATGACGACGGCGTCGGCGGCGACGGCGTTGAAGGCATGTTGCTGCTGCGTATCTACGGTGAGAACACCGACCTACTGATCGATCGCGATGCAGAGATGCGAAACCTCACGCGCCTTCACGCCGCCGGCCGCTGCCCTCCTCTATACGCACGCTTCAACAACGGACTCTGCTACGGCTATGCGGTCGGCACGTGTCCTTCGGTCGACGACATAGTTACCGACCCCATCTACAGGTGAGTGAGGCGACAGGTAACCTGTTATAGGTGACACCGTGACAGGTTACCTGTGATATGTAACAGGTAACAAGGTGATCAATGGGTAACAGGTAACGAGGTAATAGGTAACCATGCAGGTAATTTACAGGTAATGAGTAATGGTCTGGTGTGTGTAGGGATACTGTACTAGAGTGACAGAGACTTCTGTGCGGTGGTTTAGAACGGGATTTATTGTTGTGCACTATTGTTGTAATCATTGTTGTCATTATTGTAATTGATGTAATTGTTACAACAGTTTGTGGGTGTGATTATTGTCCTATTGTTGTCACATTGTTGACCTAACTGCTGCTGTGATGCTCTAGGAGTCAATGAGTCAGTTGTGGATCAGTAACAACAAACTTTCGGTTGTGTTGGTTGCTTGTCTGTGTATTGTTGTGTGTTTATTGTTGTGAGTCAGTGTCATTGTGTGGAGGAACAAACACCAAGCCACTTGCTATGTTGTGCTGACTGTTTCAGGTTGACTGCGAAGATGTTGGGGAAAATGCACGGGATAAAGCCGTCCGCAGGGGAGCTGGTAAAGCCTTGTCTGTTCAGAGTGCTACATAAGTGGCTGACTTTGGTGCCTGAGGGATTTGCAGACACTGCCATGAATGACAAGTAAGGCTGAAGGGGTCGTTGTCGTATTAGGTACTACATATATGTAACCGAGGTACATATATGTATAGACAAAGTGTACCAGACTTGTACTACAGAAGTGTACTCTAACCCTAACCCTAACCCTAACCCTAAACATACCTCACATAAAAATATAAACATAATACTAATACCTAAAACTACCTCGGGTACATATATGTAGTACCTGATACGACAACGACCCTTCGTGCACAATTAAGTAGGTTGTGAGTGTGCAGGTTGGTTGGCCAAATACCAGTTTAGCTTCCAAATGGTGTTTGTGTTTCCTCTCTACCTGTCCCCTGACACCACATGCTCCATGACTAGGGTTCTTACACAGGTTCTGGAGAGTAGTGGAGTGTTGATATCTCAGACGAGGGGAGCCCTGTAAATTAGCCTACGGGTCCTGAAAGGTTGGGTATTATTGTTTGGTTTAGGAAATTCTTTAAATACGTCTTTTTCTGGTATGTGGGGCAGGTTACTTGCATGTAGTCTAGTACCAGTGATGGGCAAGATTGGTGACAGTAAATTCCTAGCAGGTGACGGCTTGACAGTTCAGACACAGTCATGACACGAACATGGGTCGTCATCTCTGGAGATTTTGCAACAAAGCTATATGCATGGCCGTGTAACAATTTTATATTAACTCCTGATTATATTAATGTACACACATGTAACGCATTGTAATTTCGTTTTATATTTAATGGTTCCATCAATGTCAGTTTCAATCCTGACGAAGCAAGGTACGCTTCGAAAGCTTTGTTTATATATATATTTATATACGGCCCCTATATATATAAATAACATTAGTTATATAATAAATTTCCGCTGAAACTGCGCGCCTTGTGAGAATTGGATTGATATGTCTTATGACAAACTGCTGCTGAATATACGCATACGTGTGCTTATATTATTACATAAAAAAATAATTTAACAATATAATAATGGAATTTGGGCAGACGGAGATTTCCTAAAATTTATTATTTTATTAGCTAATAATATAATATTGTCGCATATACAAAATTGTTTTAACAATATATTATTTCTTTTAGCCGATATGCAGGGCACACATAGGCAGCACTAATATGCCTGGTCGACACTAGAGCGACCATCAACATAATAAATAACTCGAGAGTTTATACTTCTCTACTCTGTACGTAATTTCAACAATATGAACTGACATTGACGTTTATATTTCATCTGGTATGACTGGTGCTATATATATATATAACATAAATATATTACGATAAATTAAGAGAGAGGTAGAGGGAAGCATAGAACGAGCGAGCAGAGGAGAAGAGCAGAGAGAGAGAGAGAGAAGAGAGAGAGAGAGAGAAGAGAGAGAGAAGAGAGAGACGAGAGGGCAGTGAGGAAGAGAATGAGAGAGAGAGAGACGAGAGAGAGAGAGAGAGAGAGAGAGAAAGAGCAGAGAAGAGAAAGAGAAAAAAAAAGAGAGAGAGAGAGAGGGAGGCGAGAGAGAGAGAGAGAAACAAGCGAGAGAGAGAGGAGAGAAGAGAGAGAGAGAGAGAGAGCGAGAGCGCAGAGAGAGCTGGAAGGGGCCTAGAGCAAAAATGTCAAAATTCAATCACGGCTGATCACCTGACGCCACCCCGTCCTGCCACCCACCCTCGGTTCCCTGACCGAGTGTGCGTGCGTGAGAGCGTGTGCGTGCGTTTTCATGGCGCAGGTGCACGCTCCGAAGAGTGGCGGGACACAAGCCGTTGTCGCTTGGAGTGAGGTTGTCGTGCACCGGCGAGCGCATCTTCAATGCAAATATTTCGCCTTCATGCGGAAGTACTCCGTTAATCGGATGATGCCGTAACTGAGAGATATAACAACGTATAACATGTACATTAGTGGGAAAATACGTACATATATGAATGGACATACGTAGATGTATACCCACACGCACGCGCGCGCGCCCACACACACACACACACATCGCATGCGCTCGGCACACCACACGCACACGCACAGCGCACGCACATGCACGCACGCACGCAGCTACGCACACACACACACGCATGCACGCGCGCACACACACACACAGTATAACACACGCACGCACGCATGCATGCATGCACGCACACACACACACACACACACATTTAATTGAGCATACATAAATATCAAGAGTACATAATAGAGAAATGAACATATCTCTATTATGTACTCTTGATAAATATACAAAGTGGGCATATAGGAGGTATACAACAGTAAGGCCTCCGCCAAATTGTTCACGTTGCACTTTTTCGCCTTTTTTGGCTATATTTTTCGCCAAAATTCGGCGCACTAGAGTGCAATAATTTGCATTATGCACGCAAGTTAGATGCCTCGTGGACGTCTAGAAGGCATTAGAAGTAAAAATTGGTCTTGTTGTGTATTCGGTGACATTCCGTCAAGCTGGCGTAGCCACAGCAACCGGTTGGTCATGTTTGTGTTGAAATGTGTTCAGACAACTTTGCCAGAAATTCGCATCATAGAGCTGGCCAAAAGTTCGAGTGGCGCATAGAGCATGAATCTGTAGTTATTTAACATGGATAAAGTGTATGTTGTGTAAGCGCAGTAACAGTGTGAGTATTTTTAATTAATTTCTGACCTGCGAGTTTTTCGCCGTTCCCGTGCTCCATTTAGTAATGATTGTATTTGTTTTTTTGTTCACGGATTTATAATCAATGTGTGATTGTAGGCCTATATAACTTGTACTTATGCGTCTTATGCACAAATAAATTTCTTGAATCTTGAATCTTGAATCTTGAATCTTGAATCTTCTGTTCGATGCTTATTCAGGCCTGCTGCCTATGGACGCCGTCTACTGTTGTTCACCACATATATACAGATATTAGTGTACATACTTACTATATTCGGGCACGCACGCATGCCTGCATGCATAAACACACATACACACATAGGAACAAACAGTGGGTATATAAGTGGTATACACGGATGAACACATTCTACTAAGCATTGCATAATGAAGAACGTACATTCACAGACGTCTCAATAGCACCCATTACATTATTATAGCTCCAACTGCTCAGAACTCCGCCCACACATGCACCTCGGAGTATATGCATGACCGCGAAAGGCGTGCAAACAAGAGACATCAGTAGTACTCCAATACTCTTGTGTTGATACTTACTCCAAATAGTCAAAGTCTATCTTGGAATGATATGCCTGGATGAAGGCCCACAGTGCCGCGTATATGTGAGCCCGCCCTGTAAAAAACAGATGAGAAGCAGTGTGTAAGAACAGACGTATAGTCTAAATGTAACACGACTCTTGAAAACTTTTTCAAAACCCACTCTTCATCACGAGCGAGCCTGCCTTGCTTTCTCTCTCTCCTCTCTCTCTCTCTCTCTCTCTCTCTCTCTCCTCTCTCTCTCTCTCCTTCTCGACCCGCTCTCTCTCTCTCTCTCTCTCTCTCTCTCTCTCTCTCTCTCGCCTCTCTCTCTCTCTCCTCCCTCTCCCTTTCTCTCTACCTCTACACCTACCCTGTATATTATCCTTATTATTACGCGAGCATGCACACATGCGAGCCATGGGTCGTGTATCATGCACTCACCATCGCAAATTTGTTCACTTTCTCGTACAGATCAGCGACGTGTTGATCCGTGATCGAGTCAGGGTTCTTCCCCATCTCACTGTACCACGACCGCAGATACACCCTAAGCCACTTCTCCTGGAACGTTCTATCGGGATACCTGCTATAATCTATCGCATCGACCCCTGCGAGAAAGACAGCGGTGGGTGTGAGGGGAACGTGAAACAGAGTCTGCAGACCGATGAGATGTCCGGGAGGATGCAAGGTTTCGCGACTTGGCTGGGTAATGATGAGGGAGGGGTGCAGCAACCATCAAACGTGCGTAGCAACTGTAACCTAGCCCCAACCCAACGTGCATAGTGTGCCGGTGGTGCGGACGTGCGGATGGGAGGTTGATGGATGGCTACATTTCAGGGTTTATTTTGGATTTATTAGGCTTTTATAACTGTTTGTTTTTTAAAAACTAGGACGGACTGGGATAGTAGCATAAATATACATGTAGAGATATGTTCACATAGTAGCAAGAGTTCCAGAGACAAAATATGAACGAATCTACAAAATGTATCCATACAATGTATACAAGCAACTTATCTGTACAATGTATACTAGTATTACTACATACAAATTACAATACATACAATGTATCTGTACAACATACAATGTATACAATGCCATGTTATATATAGTTGTTATATATATACTCTCTATGTATAGTAGATGTTGCTGTTAAGCCCTAAGCACAGATCGTGAGTTTCGCTCCGCCACTGAGTGAGTGTAAGCAGGATTCTCACATACCTTGAGTTTTCAGCCTCGCGAGGCCAAAATTATCAACACGACAGATATTTTCCTCACCGCCTCGCGAGACCGAAAACTCACATAATCGACCGCGCACACGGTGAGATTCGTGCTGAGCATGAAACTCACGCTCCGTGCTCAGCACGAATCTCACCGTGTGCGCCCGGCTTTAAGTTATACACTTTTGATAAATACCAACATATTCTGCAAAGTGCAAACCGATATCAAACGCTTGGTAGTTGAAGTCGCCATACTCGTAATCTATGAACGTTTACCATGTCTGAAAACAAAAGCACAATACATTATTTAACTGTCAGCAAATGACCACACTCCCAACTCAACCACGCCTCCCTATGCCACGAAACGTCAAAATATTTTTTTGCTGCGGAATTTGTTGCAATGACTGTGATTTGTAGACTATATCTTGTTTGATCGTGGGCAAGCATGCAAGTGCTGAAACAGCGAGCTTCATATCCAGACTACGGAATATTTTGTTTCCGTGTAACGTCATTTTAATTGACTCCTGGATACTGTTGCTACGTCGGCCAAGCTCATCAGGTATGTACGCATTTTCCATGCCGCGTTGTCGACATTGTGGCAGTTGGTTGCCAAGCATTGTGGTTTGTAGTGTATAGGCAATAGGATATCCTATATATATATATATATATATTATATTATATATATATTATATATAATATATATTATGGCTACCACATTACCTAGAACCTCTCACGTACCTTCAGTCTTGTTGTATACAATTGTTTAAGGCTAGGTCGTTGTGGGCAAAATACGACGGGAGAATCGAGGTCCACTAGATGGTGCCCTCCAACACTTCTACTTCCGTTCGCAGAGTCTCTATGTTTCGTACGTGCCTTCTGTATCTACGATACGCAAGCGACAGAGAGTGAGAGAGAGTTAACTGCTAGCTGCCACACAGATAGTTAACTATTGTCTGCTCGCATAGATGCAAGCAAAAATGTAAACGTTGATTAATAGAAAATAGGATGAAAACTCGCAATTTTAACTAGGGTAAGAAAATTTATATCAATCTAGTCTTACTCATCTCTGAACCATGAATAATTACACACGCATGCACGTAAACACGCACACCTATGGAATAAGGAAGGCCATTACCGCCAAAACCTACCTATTTTAATCGCGCTTAAAATGTATTTTAATCACGCTTAAAATGTATTTTAAGCACGGATTAAATTCCAGAGCAATCAGAACCGAGTGGGTTTTTAAGTCACGCTTAAAAGTGATTTTAAGCGCGATTAAATTCGCAGCCAATCAGAACAGTGGGTTTTAATCACGCTAAAATGGTATTTTAAGCGTGCATTAAATTCCAGCCAATCAGAACAGTGGTTTTTAATCACGCTTAAAATGTATTTTAAGCGCGATTAAATTCCAGCCAATCAGAACAGTGGATTTTAATCACGCTTAAAATATATTTTAAGCGTGATAAATTCCAGCAATCAGACAGTGTTTTTAATCGTTGCTTAAATTCAAATAAAATAGGCTTAGAATTAAACAAAAATAATTTAAAGCTACAAAATTTGCATTCACACCGGCCGACTAGATTTCCTCATGTTTTCGGTAATTTTCGTCTTACTCTCCCTTGCACAATCTAATTTAGATTGCTAGAAACGGGGCTCAAATCTCCAATATGGCTAGAATTCGTGCTGCTTGATAAGTTGATACAAGTACAGTAAATATATATAGAAATCTAGTTCTATCAGAAAAGTAGCTAAATTGGCAACTCGAAGTAAAGTTACAGTTCAATAGTTGCCTATGGCGATCCTCCAGTGTTGCCATTTATGAATTTATGATCCCACTAGCTGCTGACTATTCCATAATTTATTCACTCTTGGCATGAACCCGTTCACCAGTTTAAGAAGCACTGCTCTAGGTTATTTTCTTGGTAAACTACAGGTATACCGATCTTCAAAGATAGACCCTGTAAACCGTCTCAGGGTAATTTGGGGTGGGACTACGGTGTGCGTGTGTGTGTGCGCGCGTGTGCGCGCGCGCTCTCGTGTGTGTGAGCGCGAGTGTGCGTGTGGGGGGGGGCGAATTTCCCAAATATGCCGAACGCCCTCCCAAAAAACGTAATCTCACGTTCAACTTAATTCCCAACACCACCTGAGACATGTAAGAACAGGTGCGCGTGTTAAATAACATATAATATACAAATATAATATAACATAATATATATAATATAAAAACTGTATTTTTCATCGGTAACGGTTAACATAGACGAAACGCGTCATGTCAAAAGAAATCAAAACTACCAACATTACATATACGTAATAGACTAATAGTACATAATACTATTACTTAAAGTAGAAATCATCACGTACAGATTATTACTATTATAATATAATTACATTTATTATTATAATTAATACTATTATTATATAACTAGCCATTTGCGCCCATGAAAACACGGCATCTAGCAATTATCCAGTCATCATCAAAACATGATAGCAATATCAAGAAGTAACATGAAAAAGTATAAAACTTCTAATGTTAAAACAGACAGTTAATAACGCTTGACAAAGCGTCGACGGGCCTTCTCGCAAGGCCGATTATCGCCCTTCCCGAACTAAAATCCACGCACACACACCCGTGCACACCCACAAACACTATACGCGCGCGCGTACACACACACACACACACGTGTGTGTGTGTGGCAGGTGTGGTCCGGCGGGCCGCGTCGGGGCGGACCCGATTGCTGGTCGTGTCTGTGTGTGTGTCGGGCGTGTGGGGCTGGGAGCAAATGGGGTGTGCGAGTCGTGCTCCCGTGTGTGTTATGTGTGTGTGGTGTGACTCTGTGTGTGTGGTGTGTGCTGGTGTGGAGTGGGCTTGTGTGGTTGAGCGATGCATACGTCGATCGTGTCTGTGTGTGTGTGTGAGTGTGGGTGTGTGGGGGCGGTGCTGGTGTAAATGTGATGTG